CAATTATCATGGTGGACAATGATCAACCTTGACTCTCTAGAAACCCCCAAATAGTTTCATATAAAGAATTATTGGTAATTGAGATTTTAAAAAGAATCATTTAAAAGATCAAAAACTAAGATTTGGAAATCATTTAATCCTTAAGAATCATAGTAAAATATGTTTGGGAAGCATGCAAAAGGTTTAGGATTAAAGACATATTGAAACGGGGTTACAAAATTCATTTTCACACATATATAGAAACCATTCACCTTGGCCAAAAGTGTGCTTGCCGTAACTTATAGCACAAAGAATATCCATTGTAGCCGACAATACCATTTGCCAAAAGCTAGATCTTGTTTATTGATGACTAAACTAAATTTTAATAATGATTACTGTAACATCTTAGGTTTCTAAACTGAGAATTTTCAGTGTTTCTAAAGGTATTTTAGTCAATTTAAATAAATTATTGATTAGTGATGTATATGGGAGATTAATATAATTTTTAAATCCTTGGATAACCTTAGAAGAAGGCTAAGTTGAAGTTCAAGTGAGCCATGACATGGAGGAAGGTTTAAATGATAAGGAATTCTTTGTGCTATGCACCACAATGCACGTATAAAAAATTAGCATCTATCAATTCGCAAAAACAGACTGGAATCAGAGGCAAGAAAGAAGGAAAAATGAAAGAGTAACGGAGAGAACTCATGTACTGCTAGGACACAATCCTTAAACCACTTTAGATGCATTTAGAGCTTGAATCATCATTGGGTAAGTTTCACATTTCATCTCCTCCCTCTTTATGCAACATTTTTGAATTAAAAGGTATTGTGGGATTTGTTTTCACTTTTTTGGATTTAGACTGAATCCATTAGCTTATTTAAGGTCTTAGGGAGTTAAATCAAACTTCTAACTCTAAATTTATGAGTTTTATGGTGGTTTGAGATTTTTAGTTAGGGTTTGAATGAATCCTATGTTAGAAATTGAAGGTTTTGGACAATGTAAATAATTGGCCAGTGATTTTAGTATGTTAAGATGTTTAATAGAATGGTTGGAGTGTTTAAAAATAATTGATATGGTTAGGTAAGAAATTTGAGTGTTTGGGCACTTAAAACCTAGTAAATTTTATCTGGAGTGATAATTGATAATTATCGCTTAATTGTGTAGATTGAGTATTGTTCGAGCCTTATTGTATATATAGAATGTGTGGAGCTAACGTTAAATCATAATAACCCCTTTTGTGTGACAAAAATTTGAGGTAACGGAATAATTTATACTATTTGATTATATTACTTAACTGTTTGTAAGTATATATATTAAATTTGTTACTTAGCATTTGATAACCTTGTATATTGCGAAATATGATTTTGTGTATGAAAAATTATTTGCAAACAATGAGAATGGTGAAAGTTTATATGGATTGGTTGAGAAATTTGAAACGTCTATGTGTTATGTATGATGAGTGTGAGCATGATCATGTTAAGGGGTGGGAGTTCACTAAGAAGAAATAGTGAAAATCTATATGACATGTATATCCTTAATATCTTGTGAAGCACGGTATTGGAGATTTTCTCTTTAATATCTATACAGGATACAGTGTTGGCAGACTGATGCCTCTTATCATCAATATGTAATGTTGGAATAATGACACTCCAATTAGTGTGCGATGGGAGGAGACTATAGTTAAAAGTAGGATAAGACACCTTTGGCCGGGTGATCCTACCATTGAAGGTGATCTCGACCATTATGAATGTATACTTGGTTCTGGAGCCTATAGTTTCAATCAGGGTGATATGAAGGTTTGGATGGTAGAATGATCATGCTAGTAATAAATGATCGGGTAAGTATGCTATAAATGTTTTGGTGCTTAATAGCTTTACTCATTTATGGTTGTGCATGTTAATTAATAGTAGTGAATTATTCTGTAGAGATATTTTATCTCACCCTATGGTTATATTTTACAGGCGAGGGCTCCAGATAGGGGCAAAGAAAGGGAATAGGCGACTGAAGAGTGAAGATTATTATTGTATAACTCTTTCCTTTCCTCTTTTTGGGTTTGTAACAAATATTGCTATATATAATATCAATTTAGAACCATGACATTGTTTTGTTATCACTTGTATAAGAATATGTGAAATGTGTGTATCATGGCCCAAACTTGATGTTGTTGTAATAAAATGAGTGTGCTTGGCCAAGATACAATTACAAGTGATATATTTAAAATGATTTATGCATTAAAATGACCAGATCGATATGTGTATTAAGTTTTATCCACCCCTTTGTGTTGTTGTGAATTGGGGGTTTGGTAGTCATTTTAAGTATGAATGTTTAATTGTGTGGTATGATTGGCTTGTTATGTTGTGTGTGGTCCATTTAAGGTGATTCAAGTGGTTTCTTTGAAAGTGTTTCGAGATAAAAATGAACTATTTTGGATTCGAGTGTCTATCTTTTTAATGAATAATTATTTAAGTGTGAGACCAGTGCCATTAGCTAGAGGACTCGAAAAGTTTTGTGTGGATACTTAAATCGCTCAAATCAAATGTTGGATGACAAAATGATGTGCTCCGAAAATTTAGAGTGCTGTCATGATAATAGGTGTGTATCGTGGCACAAGTACCTTCTGAAGGACTCATCTCTCTGTGTCATCTACCGCGACAGACAGACTAAATTTGTAAAAAACTTCTAGATTGTTTCAACTTGTTTTAAGTGGTATTGGTTTTTATGCTTCCATTATCATATTTCATTGATTCTGAACTATAATTGAGCTCCAATAATATTTTTTAAAAGGTTTTTTTTGAGATCCCATTGTTTAAAACTAATTATCTTTAAACCCTTGAGTTGTGATAACTTTTTTTTGAGATTTTTTTATTATCCTGATTATCACAATAACGTGTAAGAGTATTATCCTGATAATGTCAAAGCAAACGTTACAATTACAAGAAAAAAAAAACACATTTTAGTTTTGGTTGAATTAACATATTCTTTCTATATGATAGTTGTTAAATTTCAGGCTTTATAGGCAAAACTATTTTGCAAATGATAATAGAATTGATGATTTTAAATAAAAAATATCATTAATAAATAAAAATTAAAAATATAATTAACATTACTTGTAATGATATTAATTTTTTGCATCAAAATAGAATTATGTTTTTTCACAAATATCAAACACTTTAGACTGTGTTTGAAGCCCCGCACAACGGCAGCTTAGGAACAATGTGATTTGGAGAGCATCATATTGTCATCATAAATGACGAAGCCAGAATCCAAAACCAGAGAGTACAAGATAATTTAATTTAAAAATTAATTTTGAAAAAGTAATAATTTAATAATTAAAAAAATACTTACATTGGACTAATATTTAGAAGTAAACTGATCATCATTTTTTAAAATTTTGTATTAAATAGATTAATATGATCTTTTATGTAAATCTACTTATCATATATTATGTTGATCATCATTATTTTTTGAGTTCAAATATTTTTTATTTAGTCAAGATGGTGCAAAATATTAAGAGTTGAGAGTACAAAATTGCAAAATTTGCATACCTTACTTGTAATTTTACTCAAGGATGCATTTGTACACCCTCATTTTAAAATAGCTCTGCCACTTATGAGTGTCAAAAGTTTTATAAAACAAAATTAAGGTTTATAAGTTGAAGATTCATCTAATATATAAATATTTTTGATTGGGCTATATTTTTAAACTTGTAAACTCCGCTCTGCAATTTTACAAGACTTCTCCGTACAGGACTCAGCACAAATGTCTTCCCTATTAGCTGATTTGAGCAATCAAATTGTGAAAGTGTAAACAATAAACATTATTGTGTGGGAATATCACGTTAGTTAGCACTTTACATATCACCAATCAATTTAATATGCGTGTGTTTGTGTAATTAAGATGTAAAATTTTTTTTAATCTAACATCGAGTTTAGCTGATTGTGACTTGTTCATTTTACGATCGAATTTTAATATTACTATCCTTGATTTGACATTTGAATCACTAAGCAAAGACGACACTTGTGTATCGGTTGTCCAACTCTAATTTTAATTCTAATCAAAAGAAAATGGCAGCATACTGTTTCTTAATTTAATTCAATTAATATATATTTCGCATCCTGATCATTTTTGTAATTCAACTATTCACGCTAACTATTTGTTATGTTTTTAAGAAAATTAACTCAAATGTTCAGGTTCAATTATGACTAATATTTGTTTGCGAGAATTATTTAAATTACAACAGTAAAATTAAATATAATAAGGTTTATCAACAACTGAACATAATGTAATTCTCCCTATTTGATTTTGGGCTTGGTCAGCCCAAATCGATCATATTGGACCAATTGCAAGGCCCAATTAAACATAAGAGTGCATCATCTCAAAAGAATTTGTGGGTACTAAAATTTCCTGCAAAGTCCTATAGAACTATAATTGAGGATTCAACACACCCGATAATTATACCCCAAAAAAAAAAAAAACACACCCGATAGTATTCACAAAACCTATCTTTTGAATATTAGAATTACACTCATTGAAACAACATTTTGTGTTACGATATTTTGTCCAGCAATATAATTTTTGCAACCCATCGCATAATTAGATTTTCTAAACAATTTTTTGACTGATTTAGTTAAAGGATTTGACAGTAAATACATAAAAAATAATTTACATCAAAATTAATGCCGATGGTCTAACACGCACAACCATGTACATCCAAAATTGACTCTATATCTATGAATATCACTAGGTCATATTATCAAGTGTGATAATATTGGACTCAAGAAGAACCTTAAGCGAATTTGCAACTAAAAACATATCATAAGCTAAACTGATACATGTATGAAATGGATTTATAAATAACATGCCACTTCAATTACACAAGAATAATAGAGCTATAGAAGCTGTAATATATAATACAAGGAGTAGCTAGAAGATAATACACTGATAATTAACAGTGAATAACAAGAAATTAACTGAGAAAAAAGTAACTATTTAATTAATAATATTAAAGTGAGCTGAAGAAGAGGACGTCAAATAAAGTATATATCCATGCAGTGATTCAGCAGGACATAGAGATATATAGAAAGTGGTATGACTTATACCAAGCTATAGCTGCAAAAGAAGATCAATATGTAGCTACACAGCTCTAGATTAAAGTTTAACAGAAGCCAAACATGTCCTAAACATGGTGCGAAAGCATACATGCAGAAGATAGCTAGCTACACAACTAGCTAGAGATGATTTAGATATGCTATCAAGGATGTGTTTGGAAGTTGGAGTGAGGAGAGGAAGATTGATGATGAGAAGAAGGAGAAGAAGAAGATAGTGTTAATGCAGTGAGGTCTCTGAGTTGAGAATGCATGTTGTTGATGAAATCCAAGGACTCTATTTGTGGTTCTTCCATTGCTTCTTTCAGCTTCCCTAGTGCCATACAATATGCTTCCTGTTATATATATTCCATTCAAAACAATTACATTAAATTAAAATTCTCCATTCTTTTTAAGTAACTATAACTATATATATAGCCTTGTTAATTGGCCCTAATAAATCTTCAGATGAGCTCTAATTCATCACAATGGTGTGGTAATTTAGAAGTGTGCTAAACATTATGAGTATAATATTTGAAGTAAAAATAATATTTCTTTTCTTTGTAACATGAGCTTAGCTATAAGTGAAATTAATAAATTCCTTCTTAATAATATTTGAAAAGCATATATATATAATATCGAGTAGACGAGGAGAGACAGTGATAGCATTTATACAAGCTAAGTTACTAATTAACCCTATATATATAACCTAGCTTTGCGCCTTTGAAGGATAAATTACATATCACATTTATATTTCCAGAAACGTAACTATGCATATTTCTCTCAGTGTAAAGTCCCTTGTTCTTTCACGATGCAGAGAAGATTAATGACCAATCAGAGTCAGACAAGTCTCTCTTCAGACATGTGTAAGCTCTAGCATGGCTTCTGTTCATTATGATTAATTTAATAAACAAGTTAGTTTTTTCAGCACTAACTACTTGATCACTGAGATTCTCAAGAATTAATTAACTACCCACTTGAGAGAGAGAGAAATAAAGAGAGGTGAAATGTAGTGCATATTTAGATGTTACCATGAAGTGATCGAGCTCTGAATGACTACACAAGCCCAGGTTTTGCTTCTTCATTGCTTTCTTCTTCTTCACTTTTTCCAAGTTGGAAATGTCACTCACCTCAACAACACAAGCACAAATACCAGTATTAATACAAACACCCTATTATTAAGCTAAGCCAGTTCAAGATTTCTATATATATATAGCTTTATAAGGTACAGATGTACGGTTTCAAGAAAAGAAAATTAAGAGTAGTCCCTTTGTAAATTCAGAGATGGACAATGAAATCGCGTTGTGAAGCATGCATGACAGTAAATCTTGATCATAATTAATCCCGGCCGTACGGAGTTCAACATGAAATTAATGATGAGTTGTTTGAACTCGTTTAGGTTATGACTTTTAAGTAATTAAGTGTCATTTTACAGTGAGAATTAAAGCAGCTAGCTTTAATTAGAGTATGAGAGGGAGAGGGACCAAAAATACCTTCAAACAGTTGAGGTGTTGTTGAACAAGAAGGTCATAGAGTGGATGGTTAGAGATTCTGGTCTTGAGGATTTCGTGATCTCTCTCTTCTTCTTCATCTTCCTCTTTCTCCGTTGCCGAATATTCTTCTCTTTTTTTCCCACTCATATTACTGCTTCTCTTTCTGAGATCTCAATGATATATTTCTGATGATGAGCAGGTACAGTGCTTCAACCTAGCTTTGCAATCTATGGAAGAAAAACAAGTGATGTTGTCCGGCCCATAATATATATATATATATATATATTATTGGTACAGTATTTGATAATTGATGCTACTGATAATAATAATAATAATAATAATAATAATAATAATAATCCTACTGTGTGGAGTCCGGACTATTGAGGAAGATGATGAGGTCATTCACAGGAGATGCTCTCTCTTTTTGGAGAAACCAATTGAATGAAATGACCCTTACGTGCAGACGTGTTCATTGTGATAAATTGTAAGTAACACATGTTGATAGGCGCTCATGGACGTAATTGCACTTTCATTTCAGATGCTATAGCTGAGTGTTAAACCTCGTCTTTTCATTTTAATAAAATATAAATACTTTTAACTTTATTTTTTTTAATTAATAGATAAGATCAATGGTTGTTATCAACCATCATGTATTTAGGTTCAACCATAAAATATAAATACCTCTAATGAATGGGCATTTATTTGACAGTTTTTAACTGTTAAGTACAAAAAAATTATCAAATTAAGTAATGATTTTTTTATAATAGTGTATCTATATGAATATGAAGAAAAGCCCAATACTCATATTCAATGGGTGTTTCATTCTTAAAAAAAATCTAGTATCAAAATTATCATTATCTACTTGATGTGCAAGGACATCTGACATCTCTTATCGTAATGACGATGTATCGATCAAAAGGTGACTCTAGTCACAACTGCTCCATATATGAGTTGGATTGCTTCTTTAGAATCATAATGAATTTTAACATGCATGAGAATAGTTTTCTTTCCAGAACAGGGTTATTCCTTCCAAAATATCCAAAAATTTTGCAAGCGGGATGTTAACCCAAAAATATTGTAAATTCCTTTTTTCCAATGTCTTAGAGAAGGTGTCACAAATACAAGTTTGAAAAGAAAATTTATTCTAAAAGATTAACTTGTTAGTTTAGAAGGTTGCTTGAACTTATAAATCCAAAATCGACCATGTGAGACTCAAAACACTGATAAATTTAAGGAGAGAATTTATCTTAAAAGACTAGTATATTGGGTGAAATAATTTTTTAAACTCATAAATTTCATTTTATTAGTACAACTTTTTGATATAAAACTCATAATAATGTCATCTTATCTGAGAGCCAACATTCTCAATAGCTTCCCTTTACATATTTCTTAAAAAATTAGTTTGTCATGAAAGTCTATTCAACTTATAAACCTGGGTTCAATTGTGAATATGCCTCATTGCCCTACTTTCTTCCCTAATTTTATCATGAAACACGTTAAAAGATCCTCTATACCAATTACATACTTGTATCTATAGAGATTGAAAGAAAGGGATGGAAATTTCCTTTATTATTATTATTATTATTTGGGTTTATTTTGTTGGTTCTGTGTTTTGCAGTCCCTCGTTTTCAAGAACGAAAGCAACACTTCATAAGTTTCTCGAGCATCGGGAAGACTTTGTTAGTACACTTGATCTTAATGAATGGCCAGCTTGCCTTGTCTTTTTCTTTACACTTCTTTTCATTTTCTTCTCACAGCTCTCTCTATCTCTCTAACCAAAAAGGCCAAAACAGATACTGTTCATTTCTGGTTTCTTCCTCGTTATAGTTCCTTGTTCATTTCTATTTCCATCACTGTAACTTGGTCTCCGATCTACAGGACATAAAATGATTATTTTATTCACTTTATAATGACAAAAATGAAAAAGCTAAGTCACATTATTCAACACTATAGCATATCCCCATGTGCTTCCCTGAAATATCTACCTCACAATAATTCTTAGGGCATGTTTGTGCGTTGTTTGCGCAATCATGATCTTGTTCTTGCCCTTGCCCTTTCCCTAAAACAAAATTTGTGAAAATATTTTTCATGCATGATAACAATTTTCAAGACTAGTATATATTTATTTTATCCATCATTGCCACGAGTATTTTGGTGTTTAGAATGAGTGAATAGTGGCCAGGAAGCCAGGCAATATGCGATCGATCACTTCATTCCGTATGAACTTTAAGGTATATAAATTAACATGGAAGCATCAAACGTAAGGTGAAAAGCATTTTAATTAAGTATCTGCAATATCTTATCGTTGTTTTTCTGACTGGGTGTGTGTGTGTGTGTGTAATCTATGACTTATAGATAATTTGATTTATTTGTTGTAGATTTTATGTTTAACATTGACATTGATGATTGACCAAAATTTGCATAAACTTCGACTTGCTGTATATATTTATTTGATTTTTTATAATTTAAAAATTAGTCCTTTAAAACTTTAAAATTTGTATACAACATCTTGTCATTAATTATTTTATAATTATATGTAATTTATCCTCTTTAAATTTTGAATTTATTATACAAAATTTGAAAACAACAATGAGTGTAATTAAAGATACTCTCTCTTTCTCAAATTATAAGATAACTTTAAAAATGTTTTATGATCCTTAAAATATAAGACAATATGACCCAAAAAAAATGATGTCATTAATGTTACTTTTCTAATGTTACCTTTTAAGTGCTTATAGTAAAATAATTAAGAGTGTATATTTAAACAAAGAGCATTTTGGAATTGGTATGTGTAATCTTATGTGAAATTATCTTATAATTTAAAATTAAAAGAATATTAAAATACTTGTTATATTATGTGTTAGGTGCATGTTTGGGTTTGAATTCAAAGGTTTAGAAAACTGAGTATATCCTTCAGCCATATCTGGCTACTTTGAAATACCACTCAAAATTAGATTTGCTATACCACTATTTAAAATTAGACTAGCAAACTTCAGTTTTGCAAGTTTAAATTTGTTTAAACTTAAGTCCACGACAAGGTCAACGCCTTTGTTTACAAGTGTTAACTTTTGCATTAAAAAGTTACACTTCAACATCGCTATTACTTTATCCCCATTTGTATGGCATAGCGTTTTGAACGTGTTACCTTTGACTAAAAAAAGTGCCAACATGATTAATTTAATTTCCATTACAATAATTTACGAAAATTTAGATAAGATTATACATGATTGTGAGAGGAAGAGGGATGAAAAAGTGAACAATGCCTTGGAATGGGAGCTATGAAAGATGCTTGTCATGGGCCACAATCGTATAGAAATGAAATGTGTGTACGATGAGCTTTTCAATGGACTTCATTGAATGTGCCTCCATCTATCTAAATTATTGACTGCTTCTTCCTTTTCACCACATCAAGAAGCAAAAGATTGTCATAATAATGGGAATCTCTGTTTTACTGGAATTCGTTGCTCTTCATCCTTCTATTTTATCCTATTTAAAATTACTTTACTTTCCCCAAAAAATAAAGTTTTTATATGACAAAACATCATGATGGTCCAAATTCTCAATTCCAAATTTAGGATTTTTAACCGTAAATTAAACATTTATATTTTATTTATAATTCTTATAATAATTGAGATTTTTATTTGGAACAGTCTAAGTCGACACTTGTTTTTTTTAGAAATTTTTAAATTTATAATTATTTAAATTAATATTTATAAATTTATTTTTTTAAAAATTTCATTGAAAATTTAACCTGTCATCCTCCTTACATTGCTGCTTTGTGCCTTCTAATGATATATAGGAGGCCCAGATAAAAATTCACGTCCATGGAAAATGTTGTATCTTCTGTTATATATATACAGGCATAGATATGGATGGAGAGGAAGAATGGGGCCTTTATAATTATAATGCTATGTCCATGTATTGGGCTTCGGAGATCAGAGTCCAGTAGATTATGGGCTGACAGGGCCCAAAAACTATTCATGGGCTCCATGCTTCATGACAGCCCGGCAGACAGGATAAGATAAGAGTAGAGCTGTCAATTAGGGCCGGCCCTTGAAGGGTTAGGGCCTAAACAGGCTAGCCCTAATAAGCTCGATTACATGTCAGGGTTTCATTTTTTAATGCCCGGCCCTAGCCCTTAGGGCTAAAGGGCCGGCCCTCAGAGCCTCGGCCGTATTTTTTTAAAATTATTTTTTCAATTAAAAATTATAAAATATATATTTATAATCATAAAAAAAATTATTATTCATAAAATTAAGTTTAAGAAAATAAATTTAAATTAATTTACACCACAATAATAAAGAAAACTAAAATATTTAGGTCTAATATCAAATAGTAACATCAAAGTGAATACCAATAAAAATTAAACTTAGCTAATATTATCATAATAAATAAATGAGGGATGGATGAATGCATTTAATATGTTCATTTCTTTGAATTATGTATTTAATCTTTTATTTTTTTATATTATAATTTAAAAAAAATTATAAACGGGACTAAAAGAGCCGGCCCTTTTATTTTCCCTTTTAGGCCCTATTTACATTTTTAAAGGTAAAATGGAAGCCTGACCCTCAATTTTTTCGGGCCTAAAAGGGCCAGCCCTACGGGCTCAACCCTAATTAACGGCTCTAGATAAGAGTGCCAACCTGAGAGGCAATAATAATATACAAGGCGTCAATGACAATACAAGGAGGAAGGAGCAATTCCATGAGTTTATCATCTTGCCTCAAATTTCGTATCAGTTTAATTATTTACAAGCTTCTAAGTATGTTAACTTGCATGCTTGTTGATGATTGCAGTGTGTTTTGTCTAAATGCTTGAACAAATACCTTACTTCCTCCTGTTTAAAATATATATTTTTAGTTAATCTGATTTATAATATAAATAACTTAATATTTGTAAAACAATTTATAATTTCTTCCTATTATTTATTAACTTGTATTTTTTTATTTATGAATTCATGATTTTTTCTCATTCATCATAAATTAAAATTAAAGATAAAAAGAGAAAATAATGTTATATTTTTACAAGAATAAAAATTTTATTGCCACGTGAATTATTATTAAAAATATTTATATTTTTAATTAGAGGGATTATATATCAACAATTATTAAATGAATATATTTTTTATTAATAAGTCATCCAACATAAATAACAAATATTTTATACATATGTGACTATTAAATTTAATTTCTCCCACTGTATCAACAAAAAAATTCAATTTCATCCACCTTGGTTGTTTAATATATATATTGCATGTATTCTGACCTTATAACCTCACAATAATATTTTGTGAAATTGGTGGGATCTTAAGCCATGTTTGACATAGAAAACTGGGAGAGTGAGATTGACTACTACTAAGTTTTTTATTTGGTACATAAAAATGAAGATTTTAATCCTAATTCCAATCCCATTCAAGTCAAATTACTTAATGCCACCTCCTCCTTTGATATTGCAAAATCAATCTTGGATTGATTTTTATAAAGACCAAAATGCCCTTACCTCTGCATCCTGCACATTTTATCTTCTTCTTTCGTTGGTTCGAGAGTGTCTAAATCCAATATTGTTAGTGATATTTTAGCGACATCTTCTTCTTTCATTGGTTCGAGAGTGTCCGAAAATCTTTCATCTTCATCTTCAAACCTAGTTTAGTGACAACATTAGTGAAAATTTAAAACTTTAAATTTCATCATCACTTTCCTCAATTTGAGAGAGTCTAAATCTGAGAACAAGTCATTGGATGAGGTCCACCTTTGCATTTGCTCCCCAATCTGTCATCTTTATCATTAGTTTGAGAGATTCTAGATTTAGTTCTGGACAATCACCATCGTTGTGTTTGCTTCCAAATCCTCTTTCTTCTTCAATTCGAGCAATTATGAACTCTTGAATGATAGAATGAGGAATCATAATCAGAGAAAATGGGAGGGAGTTTGAGTTCGATCATGATGTTGAGTTCAAATTGAAGATGGGAGTTGAGTGAGGAGATGACTCGTGAGTCCATGACAGAGATGGGTTTTGGGACAAATTTTTTTATTAATTTTAAGGAACATTATAATTTTTTCATAACTTATATTTAATTATAAAATAAAATAAAATAAAGTATTACTTCCAATCATTACTTCATACTAGGCACAATTTTAAAGCCTCAATCTCACTTTCAATTTCAATCTTAATCTCAATCCTTTTAAATTTAGGTCTACATACCAAACAGGCGTTAACGATATTTTGTGTGCTTGGGTAGGACTTTAGAGTTATTTTCCCAATTTATTTTTGATCGCCAGACGTAAACAAGCGTCCCCATGGTGCGGTGTTTGGCACTGAAACTCATCCCACCTTCAAGCTTCTGAAATCGAAGAATTGAACCTTTTTCTTCGGAGATCAGAGTTATTGGCGCCTCCTTGCCTCCTTCAGATTCTGAAATCGAACTTTGCTGCCGTCGCTCTGGCTTCTTGTCGTTCTTCGTTCGCGTTCTGCCGTTCTCGCCTCTGCTGCGTTCCGTCATTCGTAGATGCTGTCGATCGTTCTTCCATTCCCGCCGTCTCCACTCTTGCAATCTGCAGACTCCACTGGCATGCCCTAAACTTCATCACTCCCGTGAACTCGCTTTCACATTATTGTCTGAAGTCAGCGTGGCTCAGTCCATCATTGAAGTTCGACCTGGCTCTGTTCGCGTCTGGATCTGCGCACTTGTCACGTTAAGATTAAACGTTCTCGCAGTCTCTTGACTCTCAGCCTCTCTCAGTCTCGCGGTCTGAAGCCCGTTGTTCTCGCAGCCTGAAGCTTGTTGTTCTCGCTAGTCTCCGACATCAGATCTGCTGCTTAGGTAAGTTATTTGCCTTTCTCTCAACACTTTGCAGGTCATACTTCTATTTGAGATTGAAACAGCTGTTAAAGTCGAATTTTGTAACTTCTGTGCCCGAAGAAGCGTCTTGCAGTAACTGAGGTTTCTAGACTGTTGACGTTATCGTGACTGTTCTCCCTTGTTCTAAATGATGGGTGTTTTCTGAAGTGAGGTGAAATTAACATAGGATTGTTCTAACTAGTTCTAGATAATGGGTGTTCTCTGATTTGAGATGAAATGTTAGGGAAATCCCGTGATTATACTGCAGTATGCTGATTCTCGTATACGAAGATTAGAAATTTAATAGAAATTTTGACAAGTGCCAATTGATATCCATGCTCATTAGTGCTTAGTCTGGTTCTTCTGTGACGCAAAAGAGATGGCTATTGCATTTATATCTTCTGATGCTTTACAAGTGCCAATGGTGGAGTTTACACTGTGAAGGTTAGGTTAATATTTCGTCTTTTATATGCCTTATGAATAACACTTGCATTTGTATGGATTCATTTCCCTTCTCTCTCAACTACCTTATACAAAAATGAAAAATGACAGTAATGATACAGTGAATTATTTTTAAGATTTTGTTTCTTAGTGTTGTTGCCTTCACGTACGAACTCAACTAGTTTAGCATGAATAGTGACATGTTTTTATCAGTGATTGGATTTGGTGTTCATGTCTGTTGATATACCTATGTAGGTAAAACTCCTCATTCATTAGAAGATTATCTTTATCTGAAGTTTGTTATTATGTGAGAGTCTCAGTTATCTTCATCATAACCTTTTTATGTGTACAATTGATCTCTCTATCTTCAAATTGTTTTAAATAACAAAAGAGAGGGACTGCACTGTGTGTTATAGCTCTGCATATGTGTGAGTCTCTTCATTCATCATATTTATGCTGTTTATCTTTGTCTTTAATCTACATGTGATGTGCCTAATGTTTTCTTGGAAATGTTATTTTATCTTTTTAAATGTAAAGGATTCTGATTTCCTTTTCAAGTAAGCTCAAACTTGTTTGCAAGGTATTAATATTTGCTGGATTTTAATTTATGATATTAGATAAGACGAGTACTAATGGGCAGCAACGACAATGCAAATCTAATGGATAAGTTCATCGTGTAGGAGCCATTTGAATGGGAGGAGATTATATTGAAGCCTTGACTGGTGTCTTTGTCATTTGATGCTGCTATATTGTATTGTTCAATTTTCATTTTGCGTTACTGTCATTGATGCTACTCTGATTATGTTGTAATAATTATTTAGATTTATTTTTATTTGGATTTATTAAATTGTTATAAAAATCAAGTTTTATATAAATAACATGTAGCCTTTAAATAGGATCTGTGCCTGTTTAACCTACATTTATATAGGCTTTGGTAGGCTCAAAGCCTACTTAAGGGCTTCAAGGCCCAGTTCCTTGAGCCTTTTTAAAGGCTTTCATATTAAGAGACATATAAAAAGGCTTTAGGTCACGCCAAAGCCTGAGCCTATTTCACTAAAACGTGGCCTAGCCTGTCTTGTTCCTAACCCTATTTAGAAAGTAGAGTTTGCATTGGAGAAACTGAGCATGGGAAGCGAAAATAATGTAAAACAGGGGCACAATGGGGTACCTGCCTCAAACGTGCATCCTTCATTCGTCAATCAATGCTTTGCATCATTTACGCTGATTTTGAATGACAAAAATCAGTATGAACACTTCCTAAGTGCCATGCTTTGAGCAGACAACACAACTAGCAAAGTCATGGAGTTTTTCCATCTATTCTAGTGTGTGTTACCTTATAAATATTTAATTATTGTCACTTGGTCTATTGAGTTGTATTATATCACATGATCTGTGATTAATCGTCGATGAAACCTGGCCTTGCTTAAATCACTTTGTTTCGTAGAACCATTTCTTTCTTTGTTTCTGTCAATAATAAAATTCTTGTAATTTATCTGCCTACATTACTGATTTGGTAATTTTAATATCTAATTTACTGGCCATGTTGTTTCTTGGCAAAAGAGTAATATATTTTTTGGGTAAAGAGGTCATAAAATTTTCAGTTTCTGCTTGGATGGAGTTCACCTGTTCACACATATAATGTTAGGAAGTGTCTGGGGATTTCCCCCTTCTATATTGGGTCGTTATCCTAGCCTGAAATGTGCATGTGCTTCCGAGTTTCTATTGAGTCAACAATGGACACTTGTGTACAGATGTTGAAGGTTGTACTGATATGGGTTTAGAAATTTCAGATGTCTAAAGCTAATGATGTGGAAAACCCTTCTAATCCCAAGGTTCAGAAAGGTACTGATGCCCCGTTGGCCAGTGGCAGTATCCAGGGAAATTGGTACAGTGTATTCCTCCAACAATTTTCAGTATATGGTATTGCTGCTGGATACTGCTTATCTGCATCTCTGCTCTCAATCATCAACAAATGGGCTGTCATGAAATTTCCTTATCCTGGGGCACTAACTGCCCTCCAGTACTTCACCAGTGCGGCTGGTGTCTTCATTTGTGGACGGTTCAAGTTCATTGAGCATGACTCTCTGGACCTATTGACCATGTGGCAGTTTCTACCTGCGGCTATCATCTTCTACTTATCACTTTTCACCAACAGTGAGCTGCTCCTCCATGCCAATGTGGATACTTTCATTGTATTTAGATCTGCTGTTCCTATTTTTGTTGCAATAGGGGAGACACTCTTCTTGCACCAACCATGGCCATCCCTTAAGACATGGCTGTCATTAGGTACCATCTTTGTAGGAAGTGTGGTCTATGTGCTGACTGACTACCAGTTCACATTTATGGCTTACAGTTGGGCTGTGGCTTATTTGGTTAGCATGACCATAGATTTTGTTTACATAAAGCATGTAGTTATGACCATTGGTTTGAACACATGGGGTCTTGTGCTGTACAACAATCTTGAGGCTCTTCTACTTTTCCCATTGGAACTGCTAATAATGGGTGAGTTGAAGAAGATCAAACATGAATTCTCTGATGAGTCTGATTGGTACTCTTTTCAAGTGGTTTTGCCTGTGGGATTGTCTTGTTTGTTTGGTCTATCCATCTCTTTCTTTGGATTTTCCTGCCGCAGGGCGATTTCTGCAACAGGATTCACTGTTCTTGGCATAGTGAATAAGCTGTTGACTGTTGTCATTAATTTAGTAATCTGGGACAAGCATTCAACTTGGGTGGGCACAGTGGGACTCTTGATTTGTATGCTTGGTGGGATTTTTTATCAGCAATCAACAAGCAAACCAAAGGCTCCAAAACAAGTTACTGCACAGGAGAGTGATGAGGAACAACAAAAGCTGCTTGAGATGCAAGGTAATTCAGAGACCAATATCAAGGAAAATGAAACTGCTAAATCATAGGAGTAAATCAGACAGATTATTTTTACTTCCAACAATTGCATTATTCCTTGTTAAGTGTACATTGGTTGCACAATTATGTGATGCAAGTTATTCTTTCAAATTTCATAGATGTGAATCCACGATTCTTTTGCTGCGTTCAAGTTCACATGGATTTATTTGTTTTATAGTGGCCTTTATGCACTTTTCAGGGAAAATTAAAGTAAATTGTTGCCTTTGAAATATGAAGCATTTCTCACTTTGGTGCCTTTGCCTTTTCATTTTCTGGACTAAAACATGTTGTAAATTTGGTCATTTCGTGTTCCTGGATGTTTCAACATTCATGTCGGTATATTTCACTATTTACGAATGTCGTGTACTAACTACTACAGCCATGGTTGGAAGGCATCTCAATTTTGAGGCTTCAACATGACAAACTAGTCTTCTTGAGTTTGTCTTTTCTCGTAGCTCAATCCATATCACGTTGAACTGTCCTTCAGAGTTCAGACAGTTTAGAATACTATCAAGAAAATAATAAAAAAATATTAAAAAAATCATAAAAAAAATACAAAACTTCACATTTCAGGACTTTTAAGATATGACATTTTATATAGAAGCTAATGTTTAAAAAAACATCAAATTTTGATTTGTATGTTTCTAGATTTAGAATTGATAGGTGAGCACTCCATGCAAATCTATGGGATTCACTATGACAATTAATCATTTTTTTAATGGGAGAATGATAACAAAAGTATTAAAAGTGTGAATTAGTGACAATTAAGTTTCTAACAAAATTTTCTATAAAATAAATGTTAAATATTAATTCAAACTTTTATAAATAGAAATATGAATTACAAATTAATTATTATATTTAAAATTTAAATATCCAATTTTAATATGTATGTTTCTGGATTTAGGGGGTGAGCACTCCATGCAAATCTATGGGATTCACTATGACAACTAATCATTTTTTTTAATGGGAGAATGATAACAAAAGTTTTTAAAAGGTGAATAAGTAATAGTTAAGTTTCTGACAAAATTTTCTATAAAATAAATATTAAATATTAATTCAAATTGTTATAATTAGAAATATGAATTACAAACTAATTAATACATTTAGAATTTAAATATCATATTTATAATTGAAAATTTTAAATTTGTAATTGTTTAAATTTCTATTTATAATTATTTTTTTTAATTATCGAAAATCTAGCTATTGTTAATTTATTTTTTTAAGACTTAACTGTCATTTTTTTTATTGAGTTCATGTATTTTTTTATTGAAGATAATATTATTTGAGGCAGTATTGAGTATTGATTATGGATATTTTTTTAGTTAAAATTTGAATATTAATTTATTATAATGTGAGAGATTAGTTTTTTTTATTAAACTTAACTTCCCCTTGTTGCCACAATTAAGCATTTATTACTACCTCTGAGGACACCAACATCGCCGTTTCTAGGCCACTTTTTCTGTGTGATGATTGACCAAATGCTTGGTTGTACTAATTAAAGTTCATGTTTCATGCCCAGGAGTTATTTGAATCTACCTGTGAAAGGAAACACGACAAGAATATAGCACTTGGCCGTATGAGATTAGTTGAATATTATTATTCCACGTACTATGTTTCTTTGTTGGTCTTTAACTATGAAATTAATAACATTAGCTATATTCATTGATTTCGTTATAACACAGCAGTCTTGAAAGAGGAATTTGAAACTTCCAACTTAACAAACCATACTTTTGAATATTAATCCTTTGGATTAATGCATATAAAAAAAATTTAGAGAGAAAAAAAGTGGAAAAGGAAGAAATTAATTCCACTTTATGACTGCATTTTGTCTTTTTTGTTGTCAAAGAGAAGCAAGTATTCAACGTTTCTTCTAGAATTAAAAAAAAAAAATCTTTGAAGCAATTGTTCAATGTTTGTCCCACAATCAAAGTCTATTTAAATGCCAAACAATATACAACAACAATAACAAAGTCTTATCCTATAAAATATATCGATTATATGTATTATATGATACTGTTATATTCTATTAATGATTAAGTGTGTGTTTGGTTTTCAGTTTATTAAAAGTTCATTTAATAAAAGTTTATTTAATAACAGTCAGTTTAGTATAAGTTAATTGTTGTAACAAAATTTATGTTTAAATACATTTTATCAAAAGTCAATTTGGTACGATAAAAGTTATTTAATTTGTAACAGTGAAATGTGCTTTTGAATATACAATTATAAAAAAAGACATTGATTTATGATGATTTGTAATTTTTATTATACAAATGTAATATATTCAAAATATTTAAAAATGTGATAAATATTTTAAATAACATAGATTTTGATTTATAATGCTAAAAAGTTAATCTCTAGTTATTTGTATTTTTTTAATTTATAATTTTAGAAAATGTGATAAAAATTTATAATTTTTATTATACATTAATGCTAAAAATTAACATGATTAATTATTTAATTTATATTTCTAAAAACTTGATACCTAATTATTATTATTGAAATAATAATTATATTTTTAATGAATTGACTATTTTTTAAATAAAAGAATAAAAGATTAAATTTGAAATAGTATGGTCAAATAACATCCTACTTTTTAAATTCACTTTTTAAAAATTTTAAATAGTTACATTTCATAAATTTACTTTCAGCTACTATTTGAATATACTTTCAGGATGTATTTTTCTACAAAAGATTTTACCTAAACAACTTTCGACTTTTTAAAAACAAAATTTTGCTTTTTAAATATGAAAAGTAAGAAAACTGAATGGACCCTAAATCTTTGAGCATATTGTTAATCAAAACGTCTTGTTTAACAATTTCTCTTAAGTGTCCAACACTGTAAATTGGGACAAATGGTTAAAAGACTCAAATAAGAAGTCTAATATACAAAGAGCAGTTATGTTGGACCAAGAAGAATGAAGTCATGGTTCATGCTTGTACGTGGGGGCAAGGGAAAGCATGAATCATGAGAGACGGTGACCAAAGAAAAAGCAAAAGGAAACAGAATCATAAAAATATAAAACTCACAGTCATCCACGTCGGCTAAATTCAGTGTCTCACAAAGGACTTGAAACCGTTTTTGAAGGTGAAGAACTGAGGATGGGACCAATTTAGACGATATTCAGACCACTTCATGTTAAATCTCATGAACCTTCCATTTTCAGATGGTTGACCCCTGTTTGGGTCTAAGGTTTCACCTTCCATGCTACAAAAAAAAAAAAAACGTTATTTATAAATTATGAACACTGTATATCATTTCAAAATTTTTATAAAATATGGATATAGACTCACAATCTAAGTTGTTGTGATACCAGAATTATTTCCTGAGTTTACCGAGGAAAAAAAAAAGAATTATTTCCTGAGTAGTGAGGAACAGCTTTGATTTGTTATCTAAAACAATAACCATCAATAAAGCAAGAGTACTAAAACAAAATAGAAATAAAGCAAAACATAAGGGATTTTTTAAAATAATTAAGTCACATGTACTTATACTTTTGTGCATCTAGAGCACGTGAGTTTTAGTAGTGAAATATGAGAGTTTAGGATGTTAAGTGTTTTTTGAAAAACATAATTCAAAAGTAAAAATACACCTTAATTTTAAAAAAATGCTTGAAGGTTTTTTCACATTAAAATGAACAATTAAATACAATAATTTAGTGGCTCAACAGGCTAAATTCAAACTTAGAGCTTATATAAGAGAGCATATTACTTCCTCTATCCTAAATTATAAAATACTTTTTGAAAAAATTCAATGTCTTAAAATATAAAAAATATTGACAAAAATAAAGTTTTAATAATGATGCTTTTCTAATATCACCATTTTCATATATTTTCTTTCTTTAGTATTCTTTCATAAATGCAATATTAAGTGAAGGAGAATTTTTAAAAGTTTATGCTTTTGCTTTGAAAAAGCAAGATTGTATGATATATTAAGGTATGTATAATTTTATTTTAAAGTGTCTTACAATTTAAAATAAAAAGAGTATAAAATAATCATTGTATATATAAACAATAAAATTTATAAAGTTGATAGGAAGTCAAATTTTTGTTAAGTTTGGAACTCTTTTTTTAAATCTTGACCTAGGTATAAATAAATTATAAACACCCACATTTACCATGAATAACAAAGTCATCTTTCCATGGTTTTTCTTCTTTTGGTGAGAGGTTGAATCCAACAAATGATGATGGCAAGTCTTGCATGGCCAGTTGACCTAGTTCTTGATTTTTTTTTTTCCCCTTATGACCAAGTTTTCTCAAAGAAACAACCTCGAAATTAATTAATTAATTAATTAAATCCACAAAAACGTACACCAACTTGTTCTTCTTCTTCTTCTTCAATAATCAAATCATCAAAAACGTGTCGGTGTTGACAAGAATCCTTTCCTTTCCACTCTGACTCGGTCTTCTCACTGATTCTTCTTTTGTTTCTTTCTCTCTATCCATAATCACGATTCCGCACATATTATTATAATTATTATTTTTCCGTTTCAAATTCAAATTTTAGTTTTTAATTTTGACCTCTTCGTTTCTTTTAATTTCCACAGTTCTTTCTTTGCTTCATAACGACCAACCCGCGTCGTCGACGTCGTCGTTCTTTTCCCTCCCAATTTGATTCCAAAATTCCCATCGCAAGTTTAACTTCTTACGTTTCATTTGATTCCTGCGTGGGACGACCCCCATATATATATAGACACACATATACATAGACACACACGAGAAGAGAGTTCGTTGCTTCTGATCTGTGTCATTTACATGGTTTGGCTCTTTCTGGAATATATATTGTTGAGGCCGAAGAAGAAGATTATTATCGTGGATCAAATTAAGAAAGGCGTGATGGGTCTGTTCCTTTCTAAGAGTGTTTTCATGGCATGCAAGTTTTTCTTTTCCCAAATTTTCTCGGGAAAAGTTGCAGGCGATGATTTCTTGCGGCCCAGGAAAATGGTGCGTTTGACCTCTCGTACTGGTAGGCATTTGCAACGATACGATGAAGGTTGTCGCCAAGTTGTGGGGTGTGTACATCCTCTTCATCTTCTTTCAAGTTTCAGTTTTTTTTTTTTTCCTTTTTTGGTTTCTTCATTAATTGGAAGATCCAAAAACCCCTCAAGTTGTCATGCATATATATATATATATATATATATATATGAATTTCCATTGATCCAACATGTAAGATTTTCTCAGAATCTGAAAATTCTTGGGTTTTATCTCAATTAGGTTACATTCAAGTCCATCGCGACAACATCGTTTTCTTGGAGTTTTGTTGATCATTCATTATCAATATAATTTGTCATTTTGGCATCCATTATCAATAAGTGACCTTGAGATCACCATTTCTATAAATAGAGCTGTTTTTTTCTGTATAGATTTTGTTACAAGTTATATTGATAATTTGAAATTAAAAATAATATATGTGTGTGTAGGCGAGGTTAAATTTTATCCATAATTAAATGCAATATAAATGATTCATGTTTTTGTATGATTGATGTTAATTATTTGACCCCTTTTAATAATTTGTTGTAATTTTGAAAATGCTCTCAGATGCATTCCATACAGATACAAGAATAATAGAAATGTTGATGGAAGGCATAACAGTACTGAGTTGGAGGTTCTTATGATTAGTGCTCAAAATGGTCAAGGAATGCAGTTTCCAAAGGTATTTAATTATGATTCCTCATTCAAAATTATTAATTTCATTCAAAATTATTAATTCCATATTCAACATCCACCTAGTTTGTTCAATGTAATTATTCAGTTCTAAAATAATATTTTTTATACATAAAAAAGGTTTGAATCTTTAACTTCTATCATAAAAGTATATTAAATGTATAAAATTACGTATGTAAGTCTTACCCTTATAAATTATGTGAATCATACTTAAAATAAAGCTTTTTTTTTTCGATGAAGGAAAAGAAGAAAAAACAAAAAACACAAAAAATTAAAATCTAACATCGGACATTAAACTATTAGAGATAAAATCAGGAGGAGATGTAAAGAAGATCACATCCCCTATCTGCTTCAAAGCCTCCTTCGCTAACGATTCTGCAACGGAGTTGGCTTCTCGGTGGCACCAAGTCAAATCAATAGTCCAGTCTCATCATCTCATGCTCTAGATCTCTACAATGAGGTCACGATCAGGGTGGGTTGTTCATCATTTTGCAGCATCTTGATAGCCTCCATGCAATCTGTCTCTATCACTATCCTTCTCCAACCCATGTCCCAGGCTCTTTTAAGTGCCCATATGACACCCCAAAACTTAACATTTAGACTGCTCCCATGGCCAATATGATAGATAAACCCATTAAGACAATGCCTGCATGATCTCTAGCAACACCCCTACATCCAGTGACAGCACCATCTTGTCTACTTGCACTGTCTGCATTGAATTTGACAATTTCCATTTCTTGTGCTCTCTATCGTACTCTATCTCTTTCCATCTTAGTAGATAGGGGTTTAGAGTTTGACCAAGACACCAATGCTTGTACTTGAGCCAAAACCTCCCAGACCCCACACTTCTTTTGTTGAAAGACTCTTAAGTTCCTACTGATTCATAACTATCGGCAAAGAATCGCAAACTAAATATCCCATTGATAGCCCTTTAATATGAGCTCTTGAGCCAGATTCCAATCAATCCAATTCATAATATTATTAAAAGAATCAAATGCCACTTTTATCTCCACCGAAAACAATCTAACCCAATAGTTTGTTGCAAAACTACAATCTCAAAGGACATGCATGATAGTCTTTATATGGAAAGAGCATAAAGAACACTTATCATCAAATGATATACCTCTATTAACATGGAATTAGTGTTATAAGTTTGCCCCTCGCGCATAACCAAAGGAAGGTTTTGTTACATTGGGGAATCAACGCTTTCCATACTCTCCTCCAAATACTCCTTCGCATTCCATTTGTATCTGGGCAAAGGCTTTGATAGGCTGACTTCATAGTGAATTTACCATTGTTTGACCACCTCCATCATGGCCTATCATCTCTTTGATTTCCCTTGATATGATAAACTTCTCTCAGAATCGTATCGGGTAGATACTCCTTAAACTTATCCTTAAGCCAAGCACAGTTGAAGAGAAATACTTCTTAACCAAGTCATCAAAAATCTCTTCCAGAACTTGCTTGATAGCATAATTTAGTAGAGAATCATGGTGTGGCAACTAACTATTTTCCAGAATTGTATTCTATTTCCCTTCCCAACATGCCAAGCAATGCCTTTAGTAGTGTCAATCCAAGCATCAAGAATACCTTTCCAAGCACCTGATACACTTTTACGCGCTTCAACCTTAGGGATAACGTCTTCACCACACTTGTATTTCTCTCTCATAAATTGTACCCATAGAGCATCTCTACGATGAACCAAGCCCCATCCCAACTTCATCATGAAAGCTTTATTTTGTCTGTAGGCATGTCTCAAACCTAGACCCCCTTCATCTTTTCTCATGCACACATCCTCCCAAGCCACAAGATGTAACTTCCTCCACGAATTAGAGCCTCCCCATATAAATCTTCGACACTTCTTACAATCTCTTTATAAGTATAAGCAGGTAATGGTGTAGATTGCATAGAATAAGAAGGAATAACTGCAACAACAGATGATACTAGTGTATGTCGAGCCGCCAAGGATAGAGAATAAGCTTTCTAAGAGGCAAGGCGACTGTCCATTCTCTCAAGAATATTCTGATAGATAGTCTTAGTAACTCTTTTATAATGCAAGGGAACATCTAAGTATCTACCCAGATCAGAGGTGGGTGTAAAGTTTAGAAACTTACTAATTTTAGCTACCTGCATCCACTTACATTCTCATAGAATAAGATTCTGGATTTAGAGTTATTTACCTTTTCTCCAGAAATAGATCAAAAATCATCCTGACAAGCCTTTATTATGCCTGCTTGATCCATACTAGCTTCTGTAAAGAGCAGCAAGTCATCCGTAAAGAAGAGATAAGAAATGCCAACCCTATTTCTTCATAATTTGAACGGCATCCAATTCTCATTATCAACCTCCCCTTGAATCATGTGGCCTAACTTCTCCATTAATAGGACAAACGAATATGGAGAAATAGGATCACTTTGTCTTAGACCCCGTGAAAGAGAGGATTTCTCCCCCTTTTCCTATTCCATAACACTTGCATTTTAGCCGTAGAGAGACAATTAGATATCAAATCAATAAAGCTAGTAGGGAGGTTCATTTCTTTAAGACATCTGAGAACAAAGCTCCATTTCACCCTGTTATAAGCTTTTTCTAGATCAATCTTTAAAGCCCTGAAGCCATGTTTTCCCTTGCACTTACGAAAAGAGTGTATAATTTCCTGAGCCACTATAATATTATCTGTACTCTACCTTCCAGGAACAAAACTACATTGATTAGGAGCCAGAACCTTATCCATGATTCCTTTCAGTCTTGTTGCGAGAATTTTAGTCACTACTTTATACACCACATTACATAGGCTGATGGGTCGAAAGTCCTTCATAGATATAGGAACATCAATTTTTAGAATGAGTAAAATATTTGTGTCATTGATGTGGTCCATAGACTGAGGAGTTTGGAAAATCTGCTGCACGAGATTGAACATCGATATACCAACCACATTCCATTGATTTTAGAAAAAAAGAGGATTTAAATCATCAGGTCCTGGAGCTTTGAGAGGTCCCATAGAAAAAATAGCATTTTTGACTTCTTATTGAGAAACATCTTTTTCTAGCCATTCAAGGTCATCCTGACCTATCGATGGATAACTTTGTTAAAAAATAACGTCACTTTGAGTGTGGGAGTCATTAGAATAAAGACTAGTGAAGTACTCAGTCCCCATCCTTTTTAACAAAGCTTTGTCATAGATCCACCCACCATCATCTCCTTTCAAAGCTTCAATATTCTTTCTCTTCTTTCGGCAATTTGTCATGGTATGAAAAAATTTTGTATTTTTATCACCCCGAGTATATCAATTGCATCTTGATCCTTGCAGCCACATAATTTCCTCTTGAATTAAGATACTTTCCAAATTTCTCCAAATAGCACGTTGTTCTTCCTCCAATATTAATGAGTTTGGTTCAGCCCGTAAACATCGATTGATGCCTTCAAGTTTATGTAGTAACTCAAATTTTTGTTTCTTAATATTTTTAAAAACATTAATGTTCCAATCTAAAATGTTTGAAACAAACCTTGCAACATTCTCTTCCCATCCTTAGGTGATACTCCACGAGCTTTTCATCAGATCATTGAAATCATTATGAGTCACCTATGGAGCGAAAAAATGAAAGTCTCTTACCTTCTTCCTAGTGTTAGCATTGTTCTATAGCTTTAAGAATAGAGGGCAATAATCAAATTTCATCTTAGGAAGATGGATAACAGAAGCTTTAAGAAAGTGTTCGAACCATAAAGTATTAGCACAAACTCTATCAATTTGACTTCAAGATCTCCCATTGCCCTAAGTATACTTAGGTCCTTGGTACCCCAAGTCAATCACCTCAGCTTCCTCAAACCATTTTTTAAACATACTATCAATTCTTGAAGGTGATGAAGATAAGGAAAAACACTCATCTTCACACAAAGTAGCATTAAAATCCCCACCAATAATACTCCATCTACATCCCCCATCTCCTTCTATTTGACGTAAAATTTTTCATAGCATGCGGTGCCTTACATAATTCGGACTACCATCCACTAGAGATAACTCCCATTCTTTTCTATTCCCCTTATTGAAACAACCATGCAGTACTTGATCATATTTCAACTTCACCTTAAAATCCACTCCCTCTCCCCAGAAACACCAAATGCCACTACTATAACCATTTGCCTCAATACAATCAAAATTTGTGAGGTCAATCTTATATGCAATGAATTGAGCTTTAGAGTTATCATGTCTTGGCTCCAGGAGAGCCAAAAAACTAAACTTATATCTCTTATGTAGCTCTAAAATCAAATTTATAAAATTACATCCTCCAATACCATGAATGTTCCATAGTAAAATATTGAATTTATTTATACTATCCATAAAAAATATGTTTTTTTTAAAACAAAACTCAAACGGCCTAGTTAGAACTTCATACCATTAGCATCATTAGCCACCAAATCAACCATATCCTTTTTATTTGAGTCTATGGATAAAGGATTAGAGTGAATAATATATTAGGCCTCACTTGGATCAATAGGGTTGTCATCAATTCTCATAGAGTCTTTGTCTAGTTCATCACTATCTTTATCTCTTTGTTGCTTATGCTCATAACCCATCTCATCGGTCCCTTCTTGATTCATATCTGAATCCCCCTGCGCTGTGTGTATGTTCAACTCATCTATTGCAGACTCAACATTCAAGAATTTTGGCCCATTTACTAATTTCCTTCTACTCAGCCCATTATTGTCTCCCTTTTCCACTAGCCCATCTGATTGCTTTGATCCAAACTTTTTTCCAAATTTATTCGACCCAATACCATGCTTCAGCTCATTAACAGATGCCATCCTACGTGTTCGCCCCTCCAACTTGAACCTAGTCAAAATCCTTTTATTTGTAATATCTTTAAAAGGATCACGTGCCGCTTGATTTTGCATATTATTCTCTTGTATCTGCATGTTGTTCTCCACCGTATCTGCCTCAATATTTTCCAAAATTGAGTGGCGAGATTTTAGCCCCTCATTCTGATATTTCCCCTTAAAATCATGCCTAGGAATATTTCCTTAATTCTCCGACCAGCCACCTCGTCGGAACTGATGACGTTGTACCAGCATCTACAAGTCATATTGCACCACAGATTCTTGTACTTCTCCTTCACCTTCTAATCCTTCCAGCACAGTGGATGAATTATCAGCATACTAAGCTACCACCTTACCCATCAACTTTTCCTTATTATGAGAGTTTAATCCTTTTTCCTCAAATTCCTGCACCTTTAATTGACAGTGTTCAGCATCATGCCCGTATGTTCCACATCTCAAGTATATAAGATGTATACTCTCATATTGTATCCTCTTTTCTTTCCTATTAATTAGAATAATAGGTTGCAATGGAGCATTAAGGTCCAGTTTGACACATATTCGTGCAAATCGTGCCTTCTTCCGATGCATCGTGGTCATATCTACCTTCAAAACTCTTCCTACTTAGGATCCCAACACATAAAAGATTCCTTTATCATAGTAGTCGAGTAATAAGTTCGTGATTCGAATCCAAGCTACTATTTTCATAATCTTCTCTTCCTCAGGTTCAAAATCCTCCTTCCATGGTTGCACAGCCAAGTAGTGATCAAACAACAACCACGGACCACCTATAAGAGCAAGCTCATAATCCTGCAGGTTCTCAAATTGCACCATAAAGAAGCCCGAACCAACATCTATCACAGCAACCTCACCAAAACATCCCCACATCTGTGGAAGTCTGCTTTTCATATACTCAGCTCACCATACGCCTCAACAGCTTCATTATCAAGATATTACTCTACCTCTTTGCCAATCTCTCTTTCTCAACTGGTGGAATAATGACATTTAAACCTCTTAGCATCATTTTGACAATAATTCTCAACTTCCAATTATCATTGCTCCACCAATCCTCTTCCTCCATTTTAACCATACCATTCGTATAAGCTTGCTTATATGATTTTCTAGCCTTCCCGTTCTCTTCAGAAGCTCCAGTATTGTCTTCCTTCTCTCCACCGAGCTTACCTTCGACACCCTTCTTTGCTTCTATGTTTGTCTCCTCCCTCCTTATCCAAGGTTCATCTCGTGGGATCAGGGTATGTTCATTCAAAAAGTTCCATCACCCGCACGAATCTTCTTCTTGCTATGAGCTAGGGCATCTTGTTCCTCCGGCGTCAGCGCTGATGACTTTCTCTCCCGCACACTCATCTCGTTTTACTTATCCCCCTTTAAAATAAAGCTTTTTAAATATTCTTATTGACTTTCTATTTTAGGTCAAAGCGAGCATTTGACTTGAGTTTGCTAGTCATTTTTTTTAAAAACACTTTGATTTGTTCATTTTCTATTTTTATTTTGTTAAATTAAAATGGGCCTTGAAGTACATTTTGCCATAAAATCATTGTTTGTAATTTATGATTTATGAACAACGACATAATTTCTTATGCATTTTATATTGATTAATTTAATTAACGTGTTTGTAAAATATTGTTTTGGTTTAGGGAGGTTGGGAGATAGATGAATCTATGGAACAAGCAGCTTTAAGAGAAACCCTAGAGGAAGCTGGGGTTGAGGGTAACGTCCAAGTTAGTATATCCTCATTCTTTTTTAATTTTTCTCTCTTATTTTTAGTTATGTACTACGAGAATGATCCTCATTCTTTTTAAATTTTTCTCTCTTATTTTTAGTTATATATTGCGAGAATGATAGATAAATTCTAAAGGTATCAATTAATTTAAATTAAATCCTAACTAATCTCAAAATGTCAAATTTCAAGGGGATTTGCAAAATCAGCTTTTAATTTTGCAACTTTGTTGTGATAAATTTATAATTTATTTTTTAAATTTTAATATGGTTGAAGAATAGATAAATTTATTTTTTCTATTAAAATTTAAAATATAAATTACAATTCATTACAATGAAGTTGTAAAATTAAGAGCTGAATTTGTAAATTCTTGAAGTTTACACTTAAAAATTGGTTGGGACTAAATTTAAATTAATTGATCCCCCTATGACCTATATATCATTCTCTTATATATATATATATATATATATATAGAGGGAAAACATACCTTTTGATTTTTGCATTTTGATCATGTTTTATTATAGATTCCTATATTTTTTTGGCATTCTGAGTCCTTACATTTTCATTTTTTGATGTTTTAGGTACTTAAATAAATAAAATGAACAAAGTATATGTATCTTGCATAAACATAAAACACCAAAAAATAAAAGTGTAAGACCTGAAATACTGAAAAAAATGTAGGGATTTATAATAAAATATGAGCAAAGTACAAGATTAAAATGTATGTTTTCTCATATATATATATATATATATATATAAAATACGTGTTAAACACAAAAACCAGTGCCGCTGCATTTTCAAGTCTCTATTCCTATTGGAGTTTTAGTTTTTGGAGAAACAGAATGCGTGCCTTGTTTCAAATTATAATTAATAATACGTGCTAAACAATTATTTTATTTATTATTGTTGCCAAATTAAAGATATAATAAATTACATTATTATTATCTTACATGGATGCTGTGCGATGTTTGTGCAGAGCGTGTTAGGGAAATGGCGTTATAAGAGCAAACGACAAAGCGTTGTGCATGAGGGACATATGTTTCCTTTGCTTGTGAATAAGCAGTTAGAAGATTGGCCTGAGAAGAACATTCGCAAACGATTATGGGTAAGTTAACTTTATATCTATTTCATTTATTATTAATTCATTTGCCTATGATTAATTTATTATACAATAAATTAAGGGTTGAGATATATTTTTGCTCTTAAAATATTTTTTGAGAAGCACCCAACAATCTTAAAGTTTTTGTTAAATTAATTTTACCCTTTTCATCAAAATTTCAATGTTGACTATTAGAAAATTTAATACAACGGGCAAAAAAAATTTCATTTTAATAACTTTAAGGGTAAAATTATTCCAACAAAAACGTTAAAATATTAGATGCTCTTCAGAAAATACTTAAGAGGCAAAAATGCACCTTTATGCATAAAATCAACTTTGCTCGCTTAAAAATAACACAATTTAAATTAAAAAGAATGAATCCCATATCTTTTTTTAAAAAAAAATTAAAGGAACAGATATTAATAATCAAAGGTTACACATGGGATTGGACCTGCTGTGGAATATTTAAAGTACGTGTCATGAAATCCTGAAAAAGTTGTTAAACAAAAAACATATTAATTTGAATTTGCATGATGCCATTATTGATGCAGATGAGTGTGAGTGAAGCCAAGGAGATTTGCCCACATGCGTGGATGAAGGAAGCATTGGATGTTTTGATTTACAGACAACGAGAAGATGGAAATGGATATGAAAATAATGAAACTTGTGGAGAGGAAGAAGGAACGCAAGTGATTGACTACAGCACATCATAAGAGATCAATAGAAATTAATTAAAAATTAATTAAAGAATTAAGGAACTAATATCACAATAATTAATAGCAAGTCAGATAATTAATAGAAGGATTAAAGTTGCTCATTGTCTTTTTGTAATATTGTTACTTCTGCTTAGTTAGGGTGTGCATAGGAGGTAGCCAATATCATGAAGAGCATGATAATTTTTGCCAATAAGTAGTTGAATATAATATATGGTTGAAGATGTAGACATATATTCAATTTATTCTTTCATTAATTTAAATAAGATCGTTGCGGATACTTATAAGGAACTCCCCTTTGGTGTATCATTCTTCTTTTATAATTAATTGAGCCAAGGAAAATTAATAATCACTTAGTTTTTGAAATTTAATATTCAATGTAACTCTTAGAGTTAAGAATTCCCAAAACTAAATAAGCCTGACTCTCTAGAAAAGCTTGAATAACCCAGCCCACCTGAATTCTTTCGACCTTTAAAATTATTTTTAATTAAATTTTACTTTAAAATTATTTATTTTATTTTATAAAAATATATTTTTATATTTAAATTAGGACTCAAATATATAATATTTTGTATAAAATAATTTAAAATTTAAAAAATTAATTAATATTTATTATATTTATATATTTTTTAAAAAATAGATATATTTTATTTAGGTATTCAGGCCTATTCAAGCTAGTCCAAACATAAAAACTATCTATTTTTTTAAGTTGGGTCCTAAAATTTTTTAAGTGGACTTAAGCTAACCAGTCATATTTGACTTAAATTATTGATTCTTAACGCTCAATTCGTAGTCATATCTAATCTGTTGGTCACCCTATTTAGACTTAGTTGCACAGTCCCTTTGAAACTTTAGGTTGTTTTTTTTGAACTGTAGGTACCAATTAATTAAATGGTTAAAATTTAAAAGATTAAATTAAACAAATTAAATTTAAAAATTGAGTTATGATTGAGTTAAAAATATATGAATTAAATGATTAATTTTTTAAAAAAATTATTTCTATTTAAGAACTTTCAATCAAATAATTAATGGTTATTTTTTCCCAATGGATATATATATATATATATATGTTGGTGTGTGTATGAGAATAGCAAAATGTGTATCTGGTTAGGGATTTTGATAACAGTGACCTTTGCGATATGGAATTCTAAATATTCTCTTTAGTCTTAAATGAAGAAATTAACTAGCAAATTGACATATATTAAGTAAATTAGATGAGTTAGTTATTTATTAAAAAAGTATCATGCACACTAAATTTTTTTTTCCTGAATTACCCCAATTGAATAAGTCACAACCTGGACACGATGGCTATATTCAGCTTTGCAATATAAGAATTCAACCACTCCTACCCTTAAAAGGTATTAGCTATTTTTTAAGGTTATATATTTAAAATTATAAAACATTTTTAGTTTTTTTTAACATATAAGTATAACTAATGAATTTTTTTAATCAAAAATATTCTTAATGAATAAGCTACCCAATTCTTTACTTTTAAATAAAATACCTTACTAAATAAGAACAGACATAGAAAAACAATGTCTCTTTAAAAACAATTAATTGACTTATTGTGGGTGTAATTCATTTAAAAATGCTATATATTTTTAACCAATGTAATATACATAAATAGGATAGTTTGAAGATAAATAATAAAAGTGATAGAAATGTAGCTATAACATGTTTTTTTTTTTTTATACAAAGGAAGCTAAACGAACAAAACAAAAGCAATAAAGGAAAAACAAAAGGACATCAAAGAGAGGGCTTAAGGTTGTTTTATATAATCCAGGAAATTGGACACATGCGGTGCCATGTGATAAAAATTGGGTGCCATTCCTAAAGATCGTTTCGCAAGAGAGTTAGCCTCAACATTCAAAGCTCGATCAATTGTGCATAGACCCACTTTTCAACTCCAGCTAAGCAACTCACAAATCTCCATGATAAGCCCATGGTACCTATGGACATCCACGTTCCCTCCTTTTATCAAGTACACAATTTCAGTGGCATCACTATGTAGAATGAAAGAATGGCATCCATTATCCCATACGATCTTCAAACCTATTAAATATGCCTACAATTCTACAGAAAGGGTATCACCTTCTTGTAACCTAAGCATAAAAGCTCTCAATGGGCTACAATTATAGTCCTTCAAGGCTCTGTCATAACCTATTGCATCTAGCCATTGTGAATATGCACCATCTACAAAAAGTTGCAATCTATTCAGGTTATACCCACTGGTCGGGATATCAAATCTATTCCTTCCCAACGTCATCACTCGAAGACTGTGTCATTCGCTTTAGGATGGCCTTCGCATGATTTGATATCAAAGCATTTGACTTAGAAGTATTCTAGAAAATACATTTATTTCTATGCTCTCAGAGAAGCCAACACACTATTGCAAACTAGCTCTTCTAATCACCACTAACCATAACAATATTTATGGAAATATTCATTTGGCACCAATCCCAAAGCTGAGCGCTGAAGAACTGATCTGCAAACTCTAGTTTAACATTTGCTTTCCATATATCTTAGAGTTTCAGGCAATCTTAAAAGGCATGGCGAATATCGTCATTCGCATGCTTGCACCACGTGTAGCTGACATCATCGCTTAAATGCTTTCGTACTTGAAGTTTATTAGGCAGCAGCCTGTCATGTAGCACCATCCACATAAATGATTTGTATCTCTGGGTAATCCTTATTTTCCAAATTTTATTTCACAGTGGGTTCAATGTTCCCTCTTCCTCTATAGGATAAGCATATACTTCACAGAAAAATGGCCATGCTTCTCATATTTCCATCTAGCTGTTTCTTCTCCATTAGGCCACAAACAATGCTCTACACCTAAATATAAGAGATCCCAAGTCTGCTTAATACTACTCCAAAGCCTCGAACTAGGTCTTTTGTGATCTATTTATGGAATTAAGTCATTCCCACACTTATATTTACTCCTCACCACTTGGGTCCAAAGAGCTTCCTTTTTATGTATCAGACCCCAACCAACTTGAATTAAGAAAGCTTGGTTTTAGGTATGTAAATGTCGAATATCAAGGCCTCCTTTTGTCTTGTCTCTACACACCGTCTCCTAATACACAGAATATTTTTTTTTCTCATCAACTGTAGCTCCCCAAAGAAAATCCTGAGAAGCTTTTTTACCTTATCACATGTATTCTTCGATAGCAAGGTTATTTGCAAGGCATACATAGGAACCACAAATAAGATTAAAGGAAATCAAAGCATTCCTACCTACAAAGGAGATATTTTTGCAATGCTACCATTGCTTTGATGTCACTTTATCAATCACATAACTGTAGGTGTTTTTAGTCACATAGTTGTGATGTATGGGAACACCAAGGTACTTTCCCAAGTCCAAAGTCAATCATACACCCAACAGGTCACTAAGTTATTGCCTACATGTGTGGCTCATATTTTTTGAGAAAAACTTGGTCTTCTCTTTGCTGAATTTTTGCTCAGACACCATTCAAAATTTCTTAAGACAGTGATTAATGATACAATTAATGATACTAACTTGGTCAACTGCTACTTCCGTAAAAAATATAAGGTCATCCGCAAAGAATAAATAAAAGAGAGGTTCTGTCTTTGTTAAGTCTAATAGGTCTCCAGTTTCCTTCTCTAGTTATAACACATTTATTATCATTAATGTGTTTTGTATTGTATAAAGACTATAGAGAAGAAATTTAATTATATTATTTTATAATAAACATAGATACACCAAAATATCCTCAAGTAGAGTGGAAAAAAAAAAGCAATGAGGCCAGGTATTATATATATTTTTGTCTAGATGAGGTTTTGCACAAATAAAAATAAGAATTAAATAATTTTTGTAAGGTATTCCTCCTATTCGATATAGAAAAATAAACTTGAATAATCATTTCTTTTTCCATAAGAAAAAGAATTAATACCTGAAAAATAAATCAAATATATAAACTAAATGTAGGAATGGAATCCTGGTTATCAGGGATTGGGTATGAAAATCTTGGATTCATTTTAATGTCATTCTTTGTAATCCTAAATTCCTACTTTAGGAAATATTAGGGTTTAGCACGTGCAAAATTGGAGAATGATCGTTCGATCGTCCAAGGCATAATATAACATTAAATACTTTGAATATTTTTTTTATAAAGATTTGATTCATAATTTACAAAGTTTTGAGATGTGCCTATGTGATGATTTTATTGATAAGTAATATGTAAATATCTTTATAAGTTTAAATGCTCTTTGAGCCTAAAAATATATATTGATTTTGGTGAACCTTTAAAACTCAACTCGGTTAAATTCTGTTCACAAAAAAAATTTTTTTGGCTGGATTTTCAGTTTCATTAACAATGTGATTAAACAATCAACAATGTTTTAACTTTTCATGTATATACAGCGAAATGAGTACACATTTACTTTCAAATTAATTTAACATTTACTAATCTAGTCTTTATATTGCGTTTTGTTCGTTTATTTTTACCAATATTGCTTTCTTTTCAAATAATAAAAATTAAATCGATAATTAATACAAATAATAATTACTTTTTATTATTACAAACAAATATAAAATGTTTTCTTTTTATAAAACAAACATAAATCATTTTTTAAATCTAAAAATTACTTATTTTTTAATGTTAAAAAAGTCTACAAACTAATCATTATCTACCATCTGTTTCTAATTTAAATAATTAATATAAAAGTATTTATATAAATATATTGAAGGTATTATATCAAAATTAATAAAATTTAAATTAAAACAGATATAAATTATACTCCCTCCGTTAAAAAATGTAAGGCATTTTTAACCGAATCTTACTCCTAATAAGTGGTTACCTGCTTTCAAACTAACTTTATCTTTTCATATTTATCCCTATTAAATACCTTACAATAAATATAAATTCATTATCAATAGAGGTCACTTTTAAAAAGGACAATGATTACACCTTGAAAGACTAAAAATGCCTTACATTTTTTAAAATTTAACTTTTCAAAAAATGCTTTACATTTTTGAATGGGGGGAGTATTTACTAATTTATCATTTACTAATTACTATACAAAAGTCATTATTTGTTAATTGCATTTCTTGCATTCACATATTTGAAATATTATTTCAGTCAAATCATGTGTCAAAAATTTTAAAAATAATTAGATAAATAAAATTACATAACTTAAAAAATAAATTTCAATTAAGAATTGAAAATATATGCATTAAAATTACTCTGTGTTTAGCAATTGAACAAGATTTATACTAAAGCAAGGTACTTTAATCTAAAATACATGACTTAATAGTAGGATAAATAAAATACAAAACTAAAGGACATATTTTGTAAAATTTTGATTTTCGGAATAGAAGGAAAGTCTTTGCAATAAAGATGATAGATGACTGAAAAAAAAATATAGAAGACTACTGTTAAAATTGAATCTGATTCTTGGAAAATTGTCCAAAGAATGGAGAGATTATGATCTTTTAAAATATAAATGTATTTATTGAATAAATTTTAAACTACACTCCCACTATCATCAACGCACAAAACATATTGTTAAATCACATTTTCACTTTCACTTTCATTCTCATTATCATTCATATTTTTATTTTCTTTTCTATTAAAAATATTTTCCCGTACTAAATAAGGCATAAAGTAGGGGGAAGGTGACAAGGAAAAATTGCTGGATGAATTTGGTAAATCACATTATCTATGATTCATTTAATAAAATGACACCTATTTAATTAAATAACATTTTATGTGTTATTATTTTAACAATATTATTTTTATAATAAAAGGTATATTTAATTTTTTATAATTTTTCTCTCTTAGTTATAATTAATATTAAAATTAATTTATATTCACTATTATTTGAAGATTTTACAGAGATGATTGATGAAGTGAAGTACCGGTTGATTTTGAGAATTTCTCCGGTGACAAGTCTCTATAAGGCGAATTGTTAGAGTCGGAGGACAGATGGAAGTCAAAGCGGTGCGTACATTTCGGAAGGGGAGCGCTTGTGAGGATTGGATTGCAAAATGGGGATTCCTTCAATGCAACTCGATGCAGCTGATGCGCGTGACTGAAAGTGCTTAATCAATCTCAGTTTCCTCTGCGAACAACTGAAGATGTTGGTCTCTACTCTACGGCTACAAGGCATGCCTTCCTTAAATTTCCCCTCTTTCCTCCGTCCTCTTCTTCTCCCTTCCTTCTCTCTTCACCTCTCTCCCTCCGTCTCAACTTCTTCCTTCATTCCCATTCTCCAAATCCTAGCCACGTCTCTGATGTTGTTGCTACATTCATTCGCTTGCTCCGTCAGGGTCCCCCTTCCTCCATATTCGAAATCACCAAACGTTTAGGAGCCATTGCCAAGATGAAGAAGTACCCCATTGCTATGTCACTTTGTTTTTAGGTGGAGTTAAAGGGTTTCACTCCATCTTTAGTTTTTTTGGACATTTTGATCAACTGTTACTGCCATGTGGGTCAGATGCATTGTTCTTTCTCTGCCTTGGGCAAGATTTTCAAGATGGGTTAATGGGTTTTCTACCGGATATTCTCACTCAGACTACACTAATGAAGGGACTCTATATCAATAACGTGGTTGGGGAAGCATTGGATTTTCACGATGACTCATCGTGAAAGGATTTTTTTTTTTTTTAATGAAGTTAGTTACGCCACAATAATCAATGGATTGCGTACAATGGGGAACGCAAGATCTGCTGTCAAATTACTACACAAGTTGCCGAGACTTGCAATGAATATTAGTTATGTACAACACAGTCATCAATGGGCTTTGTAAGGATGAATTTGCAAGTGAGGCGCTTTACTTATTTTGAGAATATGATTGGCCAGGGAATATTTCCCAATACGGTTACATACAACACTCTAATCGATGGATTTTACAAAATTCATCATTGGAAAGAAGTTACTCAGTTCGTCAAGATATGTTCCAAAGAGGCATCAACCTAGATGTTGTCACCCTTGGTGGATGCATTTTGTAAGGATGGAAGGATCACAGAAGCTCAAGCCATATTTGCCAAAATCTTCAAGTTTGGTTAAAAGGCCACTGTTGTTTCCTATAACAGATTAATGGATGGATCTTGTCTAATGAAACAATGTAAAGGAAGCAGTGGAATTATTTAATAAGATGATCAAAAGTGGTTTGAGACCAGATGTTCTCCGTTATACTGTTTTGGTTCATGGATATTGCAAGAATAAAAGGTTGGATGAGGGCATAAATCTCTTTAAGAAAATGCGTTCGAGAAATCTGGTTTCCAACCCTGTAAGTTATAATTCTCCGATTGACGGTTTGCGTAAAGAAGGAAGAATTCATTTGATTTTAATCTTCTGGATGAGATGCGTCAAAGTGGTCATCACCCAAATGTAATCACTTATGCTACGTTGTTACATGCATTATGCAGAAGGTGGGATCTTGATCATGCAATTGCATTATTTGAACATATTGTCAGAGAAAAAAATCCGACCTACTGTTTGGACCTATACTATTCTTAAGGATGGTTTGTGCACAGGTGAAAAATTAGATAAGGCGTGAGAGATTTTCCAGTATCTTTTGATGGAAGGTCACCATCTAAATGTTGTGTCTTATACTGTTATGGTCAAAGGACTTTGCAAAGAGGGTTTGTTTGATGAGGCAAAGACGCTGCTTGATAAAATGGAAGACAGTGGCTGCATCCCTGACAAAATAACCTTTATAAGTATCATTGGATCTCTTCTTGATAAAAAAGAAGATGACGAGGCTGAGAAGCTTCTTCGTAAAATGGTTTCCAAGGGCTTGTCAAAAATTTGAAACAAGGTGAGGCCTTCATTCTTGTATGAGTTTTCAAATTCCCTGATATAATTAGCTGATGCTTCTTTATTTATTATTCTAAAGGTTTAGGTTTCTGATTACTGATAATTTTCTTTTAAAGTCACAGTTTTAGTATATATATTCGTCTCTGTTCCATTACCAATGCTTAATTTTTGTTTTAACATGCCATGCTTCTTTCTTCCTTAATGGCTGAATTCCAATTTGGTTTATGTTGAAAGATGCTTTCTAAGTAATTTCATTTTGTCTCTTTGCCATTTTCCTTTATAGGTCTCTGTTTTATGTTGAAAAATATTTTTCATATTATTTAATTGCAAAATTTAATCAGGTTTGCCTGACTCTGTCAAATTTAATCAGGTCGCTTGCAAGAGAGATGTTGGACGAATCTGGCATTACCAGTAATGTCAAGATCAATATCTTTAAGCCTTTGTTTGACTCTTGCTGACACATACATAGTATATGCCATTGTTGGGACGCCAACTTTCTACACTGACATACCCTTAATTTGATTGTTGTGTGGTATGTTCTGGTTGTTTATGCAGTGTACATAGGTTGAGTATGTACTTTGATTTGAAAGATTCATATTTTGAATTTGTACTTTGGTTTTAACTTCTAATTTGTGTATAAGTGCTTGAATTTTTGATGAATTATTATGCTGACAATCAGTATCACCACGTTTGTAACTTATACTTTTAAGGTAGTTTTTGAAGAATATTCATGTCTATGTCGGAGACCAATTTAATTATATGTTCATCGTTCATTGCTTAATCTTCTACTAAAAAATAATCACAAATCCGTAAAGTATTTAAGAACATATAGCATTTGCTTAAGCCCTGCCACCTAAGCTAACAATTGTGGGTTTCTTGAGGAAAGCTGATTGATAAAAAAAAAGTATAAAGGCTTTATGGGAGCTCGAGAAAGAGTAATCTGAGAGCTTGACTTCTTTCTACATCAAGTTACTGACAATCCCTCTAATTATATCTAAAGTGAGAGTCAAGATTCAAATTAGATCCTCTCAGTTGAGTATTTTGATCTACAATGGAGGGATCTAGGTCGTATTAATCAATTTTAGTGGCAAAGATTTTTTTTTTTTTAAATCATACTCTAATGAATATGATCTTTTAAATTATTTAAATATTTACTTGAGATGGACAGTTGACTTGTCAGTGAGAGCCTGTTTGTAATTGAGATTGCACGTGTGTGTGTTTCCCCCTCCCCTTTTGGTGCTTAATGATTGTTTTTTCTTTTGTATGGTAAATCAATCATTCAACAACTAGACATGCAGATTGTTTTGCTGGAATTTTTTATTCCTTTTCATTTTCATCTTTGCACATTACCCGCATGGAGTCCTCCATCAGGTCTCATTTTCTCGTAATTCTTCATGTATAAGCAAGATATATTTCTAGCGACTAATGCTAAAGATTCGAGTTCGGACTTTTGCCATTCAAATAGTCGTCTCTTGCTGAAGTCTCATGTTCCTCTGTTGAAGCATCTGTGAAGTGAAGATGTTGTCTTCAACTTACACTTATTTTTTGATTCACTGATTTTGTAAGAATTAAAATGTAGATGAGGCTGTGGACCTCTTTTTAAATGCAATGGAAAAATCTAGTTCCTAATATTGTCACATACACTTCTCTTATTGATTCTTTGTAAAGTAGGAAGAATACCATATGCTATCTTCTTTGTGAGATGAAACAAATTGGTTGCCCCTATTGTGTAATCACTTACGTTATTTTGTTAGATGAGTTGTACAAAAGGCAGTGATCACTTACATTATCTTGCTAGATGAGTTGTACAAAAGGCAGCATCTTGATATGTAGAATTTGCTTTGTTCAGACATATTATCAATACTACCTTAGACTAAGAGCGAAAAGAGGAATCTCTCCAAGTACCTTGTGTCTATTTGAGTGTAATAGTGAGGGATCTATTATCCATGTCCTTAGAGGGTGTAAGGTTGCAAGAGAGGCATGGCATATGTTTTTAAAACCTCACTGTATTTTCACCTTGTTTGAACTCTCTTTGCTGGATTGGCTTAAAGGGAATTGTAAACAGGAACCGGGTCTGCCAGATATTGCAAGGTGGCAGTGGAAAAAAGCTTTTGTTCATATTTGCCGGTCTGTCTAGAATGCTAGGTGCAAGGGAGCAATTGAAGGAATCAAGACTGAAGCGAGAGATATTTTTCACTCACGCATACACAAACCCATGGAGGATTCAGCAGTACGAGGATCTAAAAGTCTTGTCCTGCAGACATACATGTGTGAAGTTTCCAGGTGGCAGCCTCTGCCAGGGGATACAGTTGATGTTGATGGGTCTGTTGATGCAAGTGGACACGCTGCTTGTGGGGGCGTCATGCAAGATTCTCTAGCAGATTGGATAATAGGATTCAAGCATAGCCTTGGCTCAATCTTTGTAAAGTTACTCTCCACATGGATTCCGTAGAGGCCATCAATCTCGAAGGAGGTCAGTTCCATCCACTGAAACCTGAAATTCAACAGGTCAGGCCACTTCTAAATCAGAATTGTGAAGTGACTTTGTGTCATTCTTAAATAATTACAAATCCTTGAAGTAATTAAAGAACATATCGTATTTGCTTAATTAAGCACAACCACCTTAGCTAATAATTATGGGTTTTTTTAATGAAAGCTGATACCCAAAAAAAAAAAAAAAGTGCAGAGGATTTTGACCTATGGGAGCACAGTAAGTGTGAGCTTGACTTCTTTCTACATCAAGTTACTGGCGGTCCCAGTAATTATTTGTGAAGTGAGGTATAGACTTGAGTGTGAGTCAAGATTCCAGTATGATCCCATTAGTTGAGTAACTTGATTGATATTCATGGGAGGGATCTGGGGTGTATCAGTCAATTTTAATATCTTCTTTATTGCTTTTTTATTTTTTTAAAAAATCAGAGTCAAATAAATGTGATCTTTTTATGTTTTGCATTTTTTTATTTTTCAAAGTTAATATTATTTCTCATGGGGCTTTTAATGAAATATTCCTTGCTTTAGACTTGGAAAATACTTTGTTCACAGAACCGCATGCAGCTCTCGACGTTTGAATCCTTAAAGCAGAAGCATTTCTTAAGCATCAGTATTCCTTGATGGCCGAAAAAAGAAGAGCCTATATTCCCCGTGAAGATGCTCCCAAGAGCTACAAAGTATGCTTTCCCTAAATTTCCCGACTTTCTGCCATTATCTCATTCTTCCTTCCTTCTCTCGTTACATCTTACACTCAATTTTGGTAAAGATGGAAGGTTGATGAATGCTGAAGGTGTGGTTGCTAAAAATGATGAAGTGTGGTCAAAAGCCTAATGCTGTTACTTATGAATATTGTAAGAATAACAAAATGGATTAGGTCATCGATCTCTTTGAGAAGATGAATTGGAGAAATTTGGTTCTTGATATTATGACTCATAATTCTCTTGTTGATGGCTTGTGCAGCATACGAAGGTTTTCTCGTGTTTTCTCATCTTCTTTGGAATGGTGATCCCCCTAATATAATGATTTACAATACCTTGTCGGATGATTTATACAAGAGCCGGCATCCTGACCGAGCAATTTCCTTATTTAAAGATATATTAGAGAATAATTGCAACCAAATGGGCGCCCCTATCCTAATCTTATTGGTGGCTTTTGCAATGATTCGTAACTACGCCACATGATTTGTTTTTAGAAATGCTTAATGGGGGAATATTTCCCATTATTGTCACACACACTACTCTATTATATTGTTTCTGCAATATGGATAAGTGAAAAAAAGATGCTGGATTAGTGAATGATAGTACGAAAAAAGGCATCAACCTAAACAATTACACTTTCATTATTTTGATTTACAGATATTGTAAGAATAGAAAAGTAGAAGAGGCTGTCGATCTCTTTTAAAAGTGCACTGCAAAAACTTTGGTTCCCAGGATTCACATTCACTTCTCTGGTCGAAGGCCTGTAAAGTAGGAAGAATATATGTTATCTTCTGTGTGAGATGAAACATGGTGGTTGTCCCTCTCATAGTTTAGGGCCAAATTGGCATTATCTTGTTAGTGTACGAAAGGCAGCATCTTGATGTGTAGAAATTGCATTGTTTGAACACTCTTTGCAGGATTGGCTTAAATGGAATGGTGAACAGGAACGGGGTCTGCCAAATATTGCAAGTGGCAGTGGAAAAAAGCTTTTATTCATATTTGCTGGTCTCTCTAGAATGCTAGGTGCGAGGGACATTTGATGACAGAAGCGAGACATATTTTTCACTCACGTATACACCTACTCATGGAGGATTCACCAGGACGAGGATCTACAAGTCTAGTTCTGCAGACACGCACTTGTGAAGATGCTAGGTGGCAGCCTCCGCCAGGGGATACCTTAAGAGTTGATGTTGACGGGTCTGTTGATGCAAGTGGAAATGCAGCTTGTGGGGGTGTCATGCGAGATTCTCTGCGAAATTGGATGATAGCCTCGGATTCCAAAAATGCATTGCAGCAGAAATTCTTGCAATCAAGACTGCTCAATCTTAGTAAAGTTACTCTCCACACGGATTCCACAGAGGCCCTCAATCTCATTCTGAGAGGAGGTCAATTCCATCCACAGAAACCTGAAATTCAACAGATTAGGTCCCTTCTGAATCAGAATTGTGAAGTGACTTTGTGTCATTTTTATTGTGAATAGCTGGTTTGCGTGGATATGAACACAAAGAATGCTCATTTTTGTGGGAAAGATATCCCACTCTTGGAAGGAGCTCCTATTGAATGCCAATTGCCAACAGTTTTTTGCTTATGAGAGAGCTTAGCTACTGTAGCTCGGACGTGACCTCTTGGTCTGCCTTGGTTCTTGGCTTTGTTTTTTAAGCTCTGCTCGCCATGCAATCCCAAAAAATATATTTATCAAAGAGGAGTTCAACCTACTCAGCACGCCTACATTATTCTTATTACTGGTTTGCAGAAAGGTGGAAGACACAGCGGGAGAAACATATATCTGCATCTTTTGATCCAAGGCCACACCATATTGATGTTAAATCCATGTTCTGATCAGAAGACTTTGCAAAGAGAGTTTGTTTGGTGAGGCGAAGTCCTAACTTGATAGAATGAGTTATGGGGCAGAGAAGCTTCTTCGTAGAATGGTTTCTTAAGGCCTGTCTGTCGAGAAAAAAGCAAGGTGGATCGTTCTTGCGACTAATGGTATACTTGTATCAGCATTCTAATTCTGGGAACAATTAGTGTCTAATGTTCTAGTCTTTAAAGTTAACGTTGGTGCTTGTTTATTACATGTGTAACATGTACATTATATGTTATGTAGAGCCATCGATAAAGGTTGGACCCGACTGGTTATTTTTTTAGATTCTGTATTTTTAGGAGGTTGAACTTAAAAAGCCAAAGGATTTTAGTATAAAAGGATTTTTAGACTCTATCCTTATAAGCTTTATTCTCTTAGGCTCGAGCTCGGGTTAGTCCAAGGGTTCTTATAATTTTTTTGAAACTTCATTTATATAATTTATTTAAAATTTTGAATTAATATATGAGAATAACACAATTTGTTAAATATTTATTTTATATGATAAAGATGAAGTTAATGACATTGTTGAAATAGCATCACCTCCTCCAAATAAACCTCCCTTTAAGTGTCTAATGTATTTTTTTTAAATGAAGATGGATAATAATAATGACTAAAAAATATTTATATTTTAGATATTTAAGTTTCGTAGTAATTTATATATATGTTAGTATAAGAAAAACATAATTTTAAGTTTTTGTACTTTGTTCGCGTTTTGTTACTATATTTTTTTTAAGTATTTTTTATTCTTGTACTTTTTCTTTTTTATTATTTTAGGTTCCTTTATAAACAAAATATAGGATTTTGGAGGGATATAAAACAATAAAAAATAAAAAATACAGAGACAAAAAACACTAAAAAAAGTACAAGAATTAATATTAAAATGTGAGTAAAGTATAAAAACTTAAAGTTTTCCTTTAGTATGATTAGAAATTTTAATTAAAAAAAGTTATGTAGGCTTTAGGGCTTTGGGCCCTCTTAATAAGGATTAAATTTGAGAAATATGTTGATTTTAAAGTGAGAGAATTCATGAACTTGAATTCTTAAAGGCTTGGCTTATGAGGATCAACTTACAAGGGTTGAGCCAACTAAAACTTAGCAAGAAAGTTATTAGATAAAAAGTTTTACCAAATGCCTTAATTATCATTCTAGTATTGCCATTGAGCTTTCAAGATGGAGTGAAATCGTCCATCTAAAAATTTTTGGTTTAGGAATTTTGTTTCAATCAAGGACAAATTTAATCTTTTATATTAATTTCTTAATGATAAAAAAAACTCTAAAAATTTTAAGAGAATTATAATATTTTAAGAGATTAAAATATCATTTACATAATTTAAAAAAATTTTATTGTCATTTCTCCTAAAAAAATAAAAGCATTAAAATTATTTATTTTAGATAATTTATTAAGTAACAAAATTAAACAATTTTATCCAAAACAACACGTTCCCCACGCATATTATAATTTCACCTATATCCTTGAATCAAATTTCAGACTCCCCCCTTTCGCCGTTGCAACGGTCGTCTCGGTCTCTTGCCGAAATCTCATTTGCTTGTGTGGAAACAACTGTGAAGTGGGAAGTGAACTGACGATGTTGTCTTCTGCAGCTACCAGGTATGCCTTTCCTCCATCATCTTCTTCTCCCTTCCTTCTCTCTTTACCTCTCTCCCTTCGTCTCATGTTCTTCCTTCATTCCCATCCTCCAAACACTAACGACGTCTCCGATGCCGTTGATTCATTCAATCGCTTGCTCCGTCAGCGTCCCCCGCCCTCCATATTCGAAATTACCAAAAGTTTAGGCGCCATTGCCAAGATGAAGCATTATCCCACTGTCATTTCACTTAGTTCTCAGGTGGAGTTGAAGGGTTTCACTCCATCTTTAGTTTGTTTGAACATTTTGATCAACTGTTACTGTCATGTGGGTCAGATACATTCTGCTTTCTCTATGTTGGGCAAGATTTTCAAGATTAGTTTTAAGCCGAATACTATAACTTTGACTACACTATTGAAGGGACTCTGTACCAACAACATGGTTGGGGAAGCATTGGATTTTCACGATGACCTCCTTGTAAAAGGATATTTTTTAGATAAAATTAGTTACACTACAATAATCAATGGATTATGTAAAATGGGGAAAACAAGATCTGCTGTCAAATTATTCCAGAAGCTGCCTAGATTGGCAGTGAAACCTGATGTAGTTATGTACGGTACAGTAATCGATGGCCTTTGCAAGGATGAATTTTTAAGCGAGGCGCTTGTCTTGTTTTCAGAAATGATTGGTCAGGGAATATTTCCCAACACGATCACATACAGTACTCTAATTGATGGATTTTGCAAAATCCATAATTGGAAAGAAGTTACTCGGTTGCTCAATGATATGTTCCAAAGAGGCATCAAGTCGTCACCTTTACTATACTGGTGGGTGCATTTTGTAAGGATGGAAGGATCATAGAAGCTCAAGCTGTGTTTGCCAAAATGATGAAGTTTGGTCAAAAGCCCACTGTTGTTTCCTATAACAGATTAATGGATGGATATCGTGTGGTCAATAATTTAAAGGAAGCAACGGAAGTATTTAATAGGATGGTGAAAAGCGGTTTGAGACCAAATGTTTTTAGTTATAATGTTTTGATTAATGCATATTGCAAGGATAAAAGATTGGATGAGGCCATAAATCTCTTTGAGAAAATGCGTTCGAGAAATCTGGTCCCCGACACTGTAAGTTATAATTCTCTAATTGATGGTTTGTGCAAAAAAGGAAGAATCTCATTTGTTTTTCATCTTCTCGATGAGATGCATCAAAGTGGTCATCCCCCTGATATAATCACTTATAATACATTGCTACATGCATTATGTAAATTGCAGGATCTTGATCGAGCAATTGCATTATTTGAACATATTGTCAGCAAAAAAATCCGACCTACTGTCCACACCTACAATATTCTTATTGATGGTTTGTGCACTGGTGGAAGATTAAATAAGGCAAGAGAGATTTTTCAGTATCTTTTGATGGAAGGTTACCATCTAGATGTTGTGTCCTATACTGTTATGATCAAAGGACTTTGCAAAGAGGGTTTGTTTGATGAGGCAACGACGCTACTTGAGAAAATGGAAGACAGTGGCTGCATCCCTTCCATAATAACCTTTAAAACTATTATTGGACTTCTTCTTGATAAAAATGAGAATGATGAGGCTGAGAAGCTTCTTCGTGTAATGGTTTCTATGAGCTTGCCGGAAAATTGAAACAAGGTGGGGACCTCTAGTGCTGACATATGTGATTCTTGTATCAGTTTTCAAATTCCATTGTATAATTTGCTAATGCTTCTTTATTTATGCTAAAAGTTGTCATTTTCTGATTGCTGTTAATGTTCTTTTAAAGTTATAGTTTTAGTGTATTTATTTTGGGAGAATCACATCTGAGGACTTAGCAAGAAGGTTATTTGCAAATAAGAACTAATAACAAGTCTTAATCCAAAAGAACCAAGTCCATGCTCCCATTTCAACAACAATTCATTCTGTATTAGTCATTTTCTGTGAATAACTTTCTTACCAAGTCCTTGGATGTGATTCTCTTCTATTTATTTATTTTTGTCTCTATTCCATTACCAATGTTTAATTTTTGTCTTAACATGGTGTTGTTCTTTCTTCCTTAATGGCTGTTTATTTCTCCTAAAAATTGTTGGTTTCCGATGACTGTTCGGTATTGATGTTCGTTCAAGTCACAAGTTTAGTGAATTTATTTTGTCTCTGCGCTGTTTGCCGTCGTCAGATTTTTTTTATCTTAAGATGGTTTTGTGCTTTCTTCCTAATGGTTGATTATTAATTTCATTCAACTGTTGCATCAGTCAATTTATTGCTATCAAGATACTACCTATATTTCTAAGACGTGTGTGAATAGTGTATTGATACGATTTAGATGATTACTTCAGGCTTAGTGATTTGTCCGGTTGTGTTATTGTTTTTTTTTTAATTTAATTTCTATGGGATCCCAATGGTCAACTGGTATAATGATATTTGGTTAGAAATAAAAGGTTTAGGTGAGTGTGTGTCTAGATTGATTACTATCAAGACAAATACCTATATTTCTAAACTGAAGTTATGATGGTGAAATAGTTATCGTTTGTCACTTACCTAATTGCAATAATCATTTTTAGGTTTGGCAATTGTTCTTTTGATTTTTCACTCTGAATATTATCTCTGGTGCGTCTTTTAATGTAATTTTCCCAATAAAAGCGTTGCTTTAGATTGGAAGATCCTTCATAGGCAGAATTATATGCAGCTCTTGATGTCTGAATTCTGAGAGCAGAAACATTCCAAAGAAAGGAAGATTCTATATTCCTTGTAAGAATAACAAGTGGACGACGGCATGGATCTCCTTTAAGGAGATGCATTGCAGAAATTTGGTTCTTGTTATTATAACTTATGATTCTATTGTTGGTGACCTGTGCATAGTAGTAATATAATGACTAACACTACTCTAATATATGGTTTCTGCAACATGGATCGGTGGAAAAAAGTCGATGGACTGGTCATTGATGGTTCGAAAATAGGCATCCACCCAAATTGTTTTTTTTTTTTTTTGACCAACCAAGGAAGCATCCACCCAAATGTGGTTGTGGAATCTCTTTTTTTTAAAAAAAAAAAACGCTTTGCAAAAATTTAGTTCCCAGTATTGTGGCAACACACTTATGTTTATTGAAGGTTTCTGTAATGCAAGAAGAATATTATATGTTTCCGACCTTGTTTGTGACTGATGTTACACTTGTATCGGTTTTAAAAATCTTCAGGACAATTATCTGTGCTTGTTTATTTTCTATATTTAATGTTGAAAAGTTTTCATGTTCAATGGGTTTTGTATTTGTGTTGTTGTGCCAGTGGTTGAAAACTCCGCTTGGTTCTTTCTTCGTCAAGGATATATATCGATTGCTTTGATTTATTGACATTTTGAACTTCTCAATTGCTGCTGATGTCATCATCTCAATTTTAGGTTTAATGAAGCTGTTAGTTTTAGCCATTGTAAACAACCAATTCACTACAACCCAATCATTTTCTCAACAAAACTATAAAGAAGATCAGAGGCCTTATCATGAAAGATTAGTTTATCAATTTCAACTATATGTTTAGAAAATCTAACAACTATAATGAATTAACTTGCTTATTAAACTTTAAACGATAAATCAACATCTTAATTTTTTGACGATTCCTCTCTAGTGTAGTATTTTTATAACAGATTAATAGATGGATATTGTCTGATGAATAATGTGAAGGAAGCCCTGGAAGTATTTAATAAGATGATCAAAAGTGGTTTGAGACCAGACGTTTTTAGTTATAATATTTTGATTAATGGTTATTGCAAGAAT